CCCCAAAACCCCAAAACCCCAAAACCCCAAAACCCCGTTTTCGAGTTCATTAATAGAAATTTCAATAATTTTATAAGGGTTCAAAAGCATCTGAGTCATCTTAGGGCCTGGCTTCTCAGGGGATTTAGAAGTAGAATTCAGCAGATTTGACTTATTTTTTTAATACAGTAGTTATCTTCTGGCTTTCCTTTGCAATACCACCTGCGTATCTTACACGAGACTTACGTTTCTTTTCGAGCTTTTGCTTTTTAATAGCCTTGGCTTTTATCTTACTTGCATCTTCTATTATTTGGTCTTTGACACCTTTAAAGTGGTCATCATTCTCATCAATATCATCTAGTTCAAGTTCTGTTACTGCTTGAACCTTTGGTTTGAGGTCAAGTTTCTTCATATCTTCATAAAATTGCTGATACTGTTGGATAGCTAATTCAGAGTTTGAGAAGACTTTGATCTGATCTCTGAGCCATGCAGATACAGCAGATTTGTTCTCAGGGTTCTCATACCTCTCATCTATCAAGATGATATTCCCATAATCATTACTGTGGCGGATGACTCTCCCAATAGCTTGATTGGTAGCTCTAGTAGCTTGGGTTTGGTACCAATGCTTGGAGCTGACCCCTTTCTTCTTAATTTTTCTTATATTATCAAGATATTTCTCTTTAAGAATTGTCTTTGGGTCTATTTTCATAGGATAAGGTACTCCTACAACGATGACTGCTCTGGCTGCATCGTCTGAGAAGTCAAGGCCTTCTGCGATTTTGCCTCTTCAGACACCAAACATGAGTGAACCTTTGGAGTAGACATCGTTGTAGTATGCTGAAATTACATAAGGGTAATGAGCACTTTGCCTGGGTTCTTCGTAGAATGACTTGTATTTCTCAATCTTTTTATCAATCTTCTGTTCCTCGCAGATTTTGATGACTGATTTCATCAATTGATAGGAGGGGAAAAATACCAGGACTCCACCTGGTGTTACACGGCATATGTCAGTGATCACGTTCAGCAAGTCTAACATCATTTCTGTAGATTTTCTATTTTCATACTTAAAGTTGAACCTAGTGTTGGGACCATTTTTGAGAATTGACACTTGAACTTGCTGCTTTTGAATAACATGTGGGTTTTCAAGACGAATGTTGAAATCTGTCCCAAGCTCTTGAGCAAACTCATCCATTGGATTTAGGGTGCCGGAGGTCAGAATAATCGACCTTGGACTAAGCTTCATGATTTTGTTAAACCCAACAGCAGGGTTGAATCACCAGAATCCTATTTTTCTATTGCTTTTCTTTCTCGGCTCAATTTCATGCTTCTTGAGCTTTTTCAGGATATGTTCTTCAATTTTCTCCTCTATGAGCACTGAGTAGTAGTGGTTGATATCTTTCTGTGACTCTATTGCATCGTTGTCATGAGTATAGATACCAATCAACTTCTTCAGACAGTCATAGAAGTTCTTCAGTTGAGGTGTCCTCTTGCTATCCTCCCCAACTGTGGTATCTACAAGCAGGTCGTCAATTACCTTGAGCCAGTAACTAAAGTGCTTTGGCACTAGAGGTCTAAAATCTGGTCTGCCTTCGTATGTTTCTCTTTTACAGAACAAGAAGTTGTATATTTTGTCACCGGTGAAGATTCTAATAATACGTTTTTCTAAAGAAATGTTATAGCTTAGAGACTTACCTTGGTCAATTGGCTTCTGGATGGGCTCTTGTTCCCAATTCTTGATCCTCTCGGAGATTATGGTTAGGAGAAATTTGAAATTATCAACCTTGGTCAGGTCACTTTCAAATTCCTCATGTGTGTCATTGGACATCATCTTTTTCTTAAGGATATTCAGTTTCCCTTGAATTTCGCTGATCTGTCCAATGGAGATTTCAAAACTAGAAGCTTCTTCACAGACTTTTGGGATGTTGTGTCCTTCGTCAAAAATGATTATGGAGTTCTCAAATTGGATATCTAAAGATCTTGATACTGAAGAGCTGAATATGTAGTTGTATGGCATCAACAAGACATCAGCTTCGCTGATGCGATGTCTTTGCAGATAGAACGGACATATTTTATGCCGCTCTCCTAAGGTATGCAGTTCTTCGATATCAAACATTTTGAACGGAATATCAATATTGTTCTTTAGTTTCCTGTTTAAGTTGCTTTCATACTGACATCCTGAAAGTTTGGTAGGGTTCTTGATGGCTTTCTTACATTGTGAGTTTAAAACAGCTCCTCGATACTCTGAAAGCTTTGGATTCACTCACATTTGGTCTCTAGAACCAACAAGGACCATCCTTGGCTTATAAGCAGTTGCTTTAAGTTCTTTAATGACTTGGTTTAACTGAGAATGAGTTCTTGATCAGTAAATAATCTTAGGAGGGAGTTCATCATCATGTGCTTCAACTGTCCTTTCACTTCTTACCCACCCTAGTATGGATGTCAACAGAGCTAGGGTTTTTCCAGTCCCTGTGGGGGACTCTAGAAGTGCATTCTCTCCTTGCTGACATGCTTGGACAACTATATAGGTTAAATACCATGGATCACTTACCTTTGGTCATGAATTCTTGCTGAAGGTCATACGCTTGGTATGGAAAGTATCATTGTGTGCCTAAAATGGTATATTTGTGATGACCTTTGGCCTTCTTTGGGTCATCTATGAGGGATTAGGAATAGAGACTTACATGAGACATGGGGGTTGTACTGTTTGGTTAGTAGCTTCTTTTCTCGTTTTTTTGCAGGCTGGGATTGAGTAGAATCTGGTTCGTATTGGATGTTAGGCTTTTGCATTTTGGGAGAGGCTGTATTTTTAGATGAAATTGAGGTGATTGATGACTAATTATTAGTGGAAATTTGGAGGAAGAAAGTGCAAGTTTAAAGAAAAGATGGAGGGGTTAGATGGATTAGGTTTGTTTTAATGTTTTTTTGTAGGATTTTAAGTCTTATCGATTTTTAATTTTGTGTGCTTTTATGATTTTAAGATTGATTTTGATTAAAAATTTTGGATGCTTTCTGATATACGAGATTTTAGTATGATTTAAAAGTTTATTTAAAGCAACTTTTCAATTATTTAATAAATAATATCTTTCAATATTAAGATACTAAAATGGGGTTTTGGGGTTTTGGGGTTTTGGGG